ACAACCAGAGTACCATCCACATCTCTCAAGACCCTGTGTATCACACCCGCACCAAGCATATTGAACTTCGGCACTTCTTCATTCGTCACCTTGTGCAATAAGAGCAGCTGAAGGTGGAATACGTAGCATCTGACTGCAACCTGGCTGACCTGTTCACCAAGCCCCTTGGGAAGGTTCCCCACCATCGTCTCCTTGGCGCCATGGGGCTCTGCGCTCCTCCTTCTCCGCCATGAGTTCGATTGACGCCTCAGGGGGGGTGTTGGTGTTAGGCCCCAATCTCACATTTTGTACTTGTAATTTTATATCCTAGTTTAGTGTAGTTTGCACTTTGTGTTTGGTTGGGTGTACACCCACATCCCAACCAAACCCAAATGTAATCTCCAAGCAATCTCCAACCCACCAATTGGAGATTGCCTTGGGATTACCCTTGATTCCCTAGGATTGCCTCCTGATTCCCTCCTCATCCCTACCTTGCTCATTCCGGATGTACTTAAAGAGCTTTGAGCTCACTACTATAGTATCGATTCTAAGCTCAAGTTCTGACATGGTATCAGAGCAGCTCAACCGCATACGCGGATCGTGATCCTCTCATCTCTGCGGATACTTGTCCCGCAAACCTCGGGGAAGCCATCGCCAATCTCGTCGCCGTTGATTCGCGACATTCATCGGCGGAATTTCTCCCGCCACATCTTCCCGTCACCATCGACGGAAACTTCTCTGGTAAGCGCATCGTCGGCGCTCTAACCTAACACTCGTTTTCATCAATTCGTCACTCTCGTCACGTCTTCTCCTCGTCGGGCCGCCGCCCGTCGCCCTGCAGCTTCTCGTCGCGCCGCCGCTCGTCGCCCTGCAGCTTCTCTTCGGGCTGCCGCCCGTCGCCCTGCAGCTTCTTGTCGGGCCGCCGCCCGTCGCCCCGCAGCGTCATCTTCGGGATGCCGCCCGTCGCCCCGCATCTGCACTCCTACCCCCATCCCCCCTCTTTCCCGCAGCTGAACAGGTGCAGCAACGCAGCCGAGCAGCAGCGTAGCCGCGAAGCCGAGCAGCCGTGTAGCCGCAAAGCCGAGCAGCAGCGTAGCCGCGAAGCTGAGGGTGGTGTGTGGGGGGGTGTGTGGGAATAGGATTAGTAGGTAGTTGACACCAAATTGGCGTCTCAGTCAAATTCTCCTTCAGAAACCCTAAACCTCCGGTTCTTCAAAATCTCCTTTGGAAACCCCAAACCTCAAGTTCCTATCGGTGACTTAAGAGCGGCGCTCCGCGCGAGAAGTTAAGGGGTCTCCACCATGGCTTTCTCGTCTTCCACCATGGCGAACCCCATCACCCCGCTCCGCCTTGAAGCCGATGGCTCTAGCTCCAACTTCAAGGCGTGGAGCTACGGAGTTGACAAGCACCTCCTGAGCCGTGACGTGCAGGGCCTTGACCTCAAGGACGTCCTCCTCAACCGTGGCAAGGGGAAACAGCCCACTCTTCCCCGTGAACCGACCGAATCTTCAAGTGATGCTGACGTGATGACGTACGAAGAAGCTGTTGAGAAGTACCGGAAGTGGGAGAAGGCCGATGCTGCCATCATCAGCGTCTTCATTGCCTCCACCCCTCCCGAACTTGTCAACACGTTCCACAACTACCCTACCTCCAACGCCATCTGGAAGTATCTCCAGGATCGGTTCATGAACAAGACGGCGGTCGGAGTGGCGATTCTCATCCCCAGCATGTTTCAAGTCCGTCTTGAGGACTGCTCAGGAATGGCTGACTACATCGCCAAGGTGCAGACCATTCATGGTGAACTCAAGGAGCTGGGTATAGTCTTCCCCGAACAAGCCCCTGCAGCCGCCCTTCTTGTTGGTCTCTCCTCGGCATATGAAGTCACGAGGAAGATGCTCCTCACGCTCTCAGCGGAAGACCTCACCTTTGCTAAGGTCTCCACCGCACTCCTCTCTGCCGAGAAAGACTCCACGGCTCAGGCCAAGGCATACGCCATCCGTGCTCCCATGCCCCCAGCAAGTGTTGCAGCGGCCCTTGCCTCGGCGCCTTTCCAGCGCAACCGCTTTCCTCCGTGCACCTACGTCGTCAAGTATGGCAACCGCAAGGGACAAGTGTGTGGTGGCACTAACCACCCCCTTGCCACGTGCTTCAAGAAGAAAGACGACGAGTGGTATGCCATCCACGGGGTTGACAAGAAGCCGCCAAACTGGATGCGCGCTCGTAAGGCCAATCTCGTTGAGGTCCAGGACCCCTCTTCGCCTAGTGCTAGTGATAGTGCTCCTGTTGATGTGCGTATCAACCTGTTGTTTCCTGGCACTGCCATGATTAATCAAGCCACTTCCCAGTACATCGACTCATCACAGGCACCACAGTACATAGAGTTCACACTCGACAGCGGGGCCACTCACACTGTGCTCAAGGAGACACTCTCCTTCAAACCCTATCCAGCACCTATCCCTCTCTTGGGAGCTGACTCCAGCTTCACCACCCTAGGTGACTCCACTTAAGAGCTTAGCGATTGACACGACAAGTGGCGGACATAGCCGATCACTGTTGCAAAGGCTTATGGGTTTGCATGCGGGTGCACCAACGAAAGTACCTGGAGGCCTATGGGAAGGTTCCACACCAAGACGAAGCTGAATCGGTAGTAGTTAACTAATTGGTGGCAGCCTGTTGCTTCCCCATTACTATACTCAACACTGTGATTGTAGATGCAGCTGCACTGATTCTCTAAATGTGATACAACAAAGGTGTTGGGCATAAGCTGGGTCCCTAGTTCATGGAAGAGATTTCCCTATGGGACAGTGCCTTCGTTTGGTTTAGTCTGCTGGAGGAAAAGATAACGAACTGAAAAAGAGAGAACATGATCCTTATAAAAAATCACTACCATACCCGATGAGAGAGTTTGAACATATTGTGTGGCATCAAGAATACAGAATTGAAACAATTACTTCTTAGATGGACTATTGTCGGGTTATTCTAGCCAGCGTTGTGTAGTCGTCTTTCTAGGGCGTACTTGAAGATGTGCATAACGCACCAGGATTAATGTCAAACATGTGCGCAGGACAGTCCCAGCCAGGTTTTCCGCGTGGGTCGTCGTTCCTTCGGTCAACATTCATATTCTGTTTTGTTCGCCTGAGACCTGCACATCCAGGACACTGTAGTGTTATCTGTTTGCACATGCCTTGTGCTGCTGTTGGAAGTAAACGAATGCGCGTACATCGCCCTAGCGATTACAGCTCGTCGTAAAACTTTCGTGAGTACAAGTTCTCTCGTCACTCGGCCACACCCGTTGCATCTGCTTGGTCTTCGGGTCCACCTGTTTTTCATTCTCAGTTTCCTCCTGTCGAATTCTTATTCCCCGTCCATGGCGGCAATGCAAATACGAAAGGTGACAGTGCAAATACGTCGATAAAGACCAACTAGCGTCCTAAGAAGGTTACGAAATCATGTTCAGAAGATGATTAGCCACAGAATGGGTAAACTGTACATCTGAAAGATTATCAGTCAAAAATAGTGCTGTAAGGAAACACCCTAGCACGAAGTTTCATGCCTGGTCGTGAGCGGGATAGCCATGAAATCACGCCATGGGAAAAGACGACCAACAGCAGCCTGCGCTGACGTTCCATCTTCGCTCCCGCATTCCAGGTCGGGAAACGCCATGATCGTGAAATTTCTTGTGTAGACTTTAAACACTCGAAAGTCCTGAACACTTCAATGACACTTTTCCCACCAGCTTTTCAGTTCTCTGCCTCTCCGTCCAGCTGAGGTCAGACACCCAGTCCCACCCATTGCCGGCTCCTGGAAAAGAGGCACCAACGGTCAATTTGGGCTCGTATCACAGACCTCAGGTCTAGCACAGCTGACACGACGCTGACACGACCTCAGTCCTGAAGTTTGTGCGTATGGGGAGGGAAATGGATGACAATGATCCGAAATGGGTCTCGGCTTGGCAAAAAACAGAGTACCCTGAAAATGATCAAAGGCTGCTCCGCCAACCCCTTCAAGGGATTCGTTTTCCACTCTTGGAGTGACGTTGCCAATGCCCAGTCAAGCCCTTGACAGATCCCCATTCAATGAAAGAGTTCGCATGACTTTTGTCATCGAGCGTGAAGTCAAGCCAATCTGATCCGACGTGGCTCATCTGACGTGAATAACCTTCCCTCAACCCACTCCACTGCTGAGACACTTTCTCAGAGATCGTACGAACAAACAAGTTCGACCCGATTCGCAAATCCGCGATGCGTTGATGCTCAAAGTCAATGTTCTTACTGTACTTTCTTGAATGGAACCCAAGGCACCAGACACCCCATAAAGCTTTCTTGCTGGGTAGTAGTACTACTACTAGTACTAGTCGTTCACCAGTCAGTGTCACTGGACAGTCCTACGCCATCCTGTTCCGCAAGGAGGCTCCAGCACTTCCTTGTTCCAAGTCTGAAAGCCAAGCATGAAAACACGCGGCTATGCGGGCTGTTTCGCCATTGGCAGAAGAGCCGCGGGAGCGACATCGTGGCTACTGCTTTTGTCCGCTGCGGTGCTTCTGGGAGCACCTTCTCCGACGGTACTAGCAAAGCATCCTGACGAGGACAAACCTCACGGCCCCTTGACACAACCCCGCGGATGTTGGAAGATGTGCAACAGGCTTAAGCTGGGGTACTACATAAATAAACCAAAAGACACGAGGGCGTCGGGACCGCACCACATTCTCGGGAACTACAACTATGAGCGCTACGTTCTCGACCCTGCGGCCGCAAACGTCGTAGGCTCCTTGGATTCAACCGGGGTAATAATTGATTAAGCCCCAATATCGCAGGCTGCGTTCCGTCATGCCTTCCGTCGTGCCTTCCGTCATTTATTGTCCATCGCCAATATCGCATGGCTGCGTTTTCTCCGTTGACTTTGAGCAAGGGCTGCTCGGCGGCGCATCACTACAGTTCAATGAGAACGCGAGAAAGGTGGAGAGGCTGTGTACCTTCTGTTTTAACTTGCCCCCGTATTTTCCCGTCTCTCCTCTTTGGCAGTTTGTGGATTGCTGTCAGAAGTGCGCCAAGAAGGTGGGCTGCAGGTTCTGGCATTTGAAACCTTCAATGAATGGCGAGATGTAAGCATCAGTGCCACTGATATTCGTTATCCTTGTCATGAAAAAGCTTTGAATGAAGTACTTGCCCTCACTCCGTGTAGCAAGCTTCTTTCCTTCAGTTCAGAATGCTTTTCACCGTGTGTGACTTTGTCAACGCCTCCGCTTCCCATCTCTTATAACCGCCGGCTAACTTCCTATCCCCCTCCCCGTGACACCACTGGCAGTGGCCAATGCACGTTGCTGGGCTCATTGGCAGGCATTACCGTGCGGAACTGGGACATACCCATCCTCCCAACGTTCCTGGGTGGCGAGTGCAACCCCCTTGCCAACACGGACGACGATCCGCATTTCCGGGGCGCAGACGGCACCCAATACGACTTCAACGGCCTTCTCGACCGCTCCTTTTGCTTGGTTTCCGACCGTCGGATCCACATCAACATGGGAATCAAGGGCTACCAGCCCATCGCGAATCTCCCCGGCACGGCGACATCATTGGACGAAGAGTCGCTCGCTGCAGCGGTGGAAGCGGCGGCCAATGAGAAGAAGCCACGTCATATCAGGCAGCTGGAACAAGAACGGCTGAGCGTGGAGGAACTGAGCGAGCTGGAGAGAATGCGGGCCAATGGGAGCCTGCCGTGGACTGATGAGGTGGTGGCGGCGCTTGACAGGGAGACGGGTCGTCGCAGCGGCGAAGATGGCGCCAGGGGTGGAGGGGAAGAGAAGGAGCAATATTCGATTCAGTATGCGAAGCATGAGCTGAAGGCGAGGCTTCTGAAAGAAAAGCCGATTCGCAGCTGGATCAGGTGTGCGACACTGTGATTGTAGATGATGCGCATGCGCCATAATGTACTCGTAGCCATTCTGGGTAGCATGCGCCGTGTTTGTAGTAGACTGCACGAGTCGTTACGAGCCTCACCTTTTCTTCATGGCTGCACAACCCTTTATGCTTTGTGCCTTCCAGGGAGCTTCAAGTGATGTGGCGCGATGATACTGGCGCGCATCACTCAGCGTTCATTAAGGCGCGCGACGGCAAGGAGCAAGGGAGGGGCAGCAGCGGGTTCATCGACCGACTGGAGCTCGACGGCTCGCCGGTGGCCCCGCCTCTGTCCGAAGGATCTTTCGTTGCTGGCAGCGGCGGGTTCAAGCTGCTTCTGGCGGAGACGCGGAGCTGCAAGGGGAAGGACGAGGATGAGTTTCATCTCACGATCGACGGCCTGGTGGACATGGGCATCTTAGCGCGTTTGGCGCATCCACTCATGCAGACGGCTACGGAGGCCCAGGCGCATTTCAATGTGCACATCGCCCGACTCAATGTGAGCAACATTCTGATTGTTTGCTATGTGTTGGCTGTGCTTTGCCTGGGCGGTGCTGCCATGATAGCTGTCCTGGTACAGTACCGTTTTTGTCATTTTGTCCCATGCAACGTCTTCCCTTCACCCTCTCCCCCCTCTCCCCCTTCCTGTCGTTCCCTCTCTCTCCCCCGTGTGCAGCACACAAGCGGCATTCACGGCGTGCTGGGTCAGACCTTCACCCATCTCCCCCCTTCCTGTCGTTCCCTCCTTCCCTCTTCATTTCTACAGCACACGAGCGGCATTCACGGCGTGCTGGGTCAGACCTTCCGAGCCGAGGAATCCCGCAAGGTGCGCTCGCTGCGGTACCGCCTGCTGACCCGCCTGCTGCGCGAGCCGGTGGAGGTGGAGAGTGAGAGTGGCAGGGGATTCCTGGATGGGCGCACGGAGGACTACATCACCTCGGATATTCACTCCGCGGATTGCATGTATGCCGCTGCGTGGCGTAGGGGGGAACACGAAAGCAGCGATGGAAGCGATGTCATGTGACAAGTTTGTGTGAAGCAGTGCTGCAGAGTCTCTTTTTGGGGTGGTGGGGTTTTTATCTCCTTTAACACTGGTCAGATATATACAGATACCTAGAGAATCTAAATAAGAAGCCATAATGGCTTGTAAATTGTGTGTACCATGTTGTATTTCATGACTGGAATTTTATTGCATACTTTCATAACTTGAATAGTAAGAACAAAAATATGTATTGTGAAATGTTTGTGCGTGCATATATGTGTGTGTGTGTGTGTGTGTGTGTGTGTGTGTGTGTGTGTGTGTGTGTGTGTGTGTGTGTGTGTGTGTGTGTGTGTGTGTGTGTGTGTGTGTGTGTGGTGCGTGCGTGCGTGCGTGCGTGTGTGTGTGTCTGTGTGTGGGTGTGTGCGTGCGTGTGCGTGCGCGCGCCCTTTTCTTTGTCCTCCCACAATACTGAAAACCAGACGTGATTGAGAGCCACTTCATATCAGCACACATTTGATTTTTCCTTTGCACCTCAAGAGTACATTGCTCATAACTATTCACTCTCTTCATATCACTCTCTCCTCATCCTAAGTATGTTTATTGGCATTAGGCATAACATAATATTTATCCCTTGCTAGTCACCACTGACTATGCTGATGCGATTCGGCTTAGAATACTAGTTTTTCTTAACATCATTGGATGTACAAGCTCTTTGAACATCAGCATCCTCTCGACCAGCGCCGGCAAATTTAGGTACACGAACTGTCCATTGTCCAGCAGCATCACCTTGTGGTGGTGCAGGATGCTTTGGAGGCAATGAGCGATGGTGATCGCCAATACTCCCGGATAAGACCACCGGGTCTTGTGGCACCAAGAACACAAGTCCCACAACCTGATCACTTCCGTCATGCACTCGGTCTATTCGATATAGTACCATGATTACTGTTGTCGTTCTGCTGCCTATGCACTTGCACAACAACATTTAGGTTTCCACCGAGATTAAGAAGAACGTGTTTTTGTAGCACACAGAGCAACTCCGATTGGTAACCATTGCCCCTTTATGTCCTCAGCTCACTGGCACGCAGTGAGTGTCTGGTGCTCAGCAATGCCGTTCGTGACGACCCTGATTTTGTGCGAGAGCGTGCGATGAACAAGCAAGCGATTGAAGTGGTGATCCGGATGTAACTGCGACGAAGACGTCGGAGATGCTGCGGGAGCTGATGGTGGTTTACCAGCTACAGAACTGGATGCAGTTAGCATTCAAGGATGGTGTCTGCTTCCACCGTGTTCTACACCTTGTCACCAGAGCTGATACTGATGTCATCAAAGGTCTTGTGATCCCTCAACCCGGCGATAGATACCGCTGGCGCCATGTTTTTTAGGATCCTCTGGAGATCGGCCGTCGCTTCTTGGTCCACTTTCCTTCGCTCTCTTGCCGGCTCTATGGTGGACAGCAATATGACGTCAATCATGATGCTTTCCCTACGGAGCGGCAAAACAACATAGGGAAGTGGAACCTTACCTTGGGGAGGGTTCATCGTATTAATGGTAACTGCTTTTCTCTGTATGATCATGCTTACCACTGTGCTTGCTCTTGTGCTAACCGCCAAGTTTTACCGTGCAGCTACATCCCTTTCGGCTTCACCGCTGATAACTCCTATCCTATAGGACCCATTCATGGTGCTGATCTCCACTGGAGGGGACCAGGAGGAGTGGATCTGCACGCTAGTGGGTTGTGAGAAGGCGAAGGGGGGAAACTTCATGAATGCGGCAGAACATGTCACCTCCGCAAATCACCTCATTCATCTGGAGAAGCTCGGATCTGCGACTCGTGCCTCGCTTGAGAAAGCAATTCTCAACGTCACGACGAAGGAGTATGGGCTCTGAGGCAAGAGCAGCTCGGTAGACAGGATGTAGCAGCAGCAGTAGCCCTTTCAGTAGTCGGTGCTGTTCTCTTCTTTACTCTGTGGATGCGTAGGGGTTCTCAAGTTGCTATTATATGAGTAAAAGAAGCCTTATCAGCTTCGCAGACCTTAACATCAACGGCCTAGGAGATAAGACCAAACAGCAGCGTGTCCTCGACAGGTCCAGACAAGCAGCAGACATTATTGTCCTCTCTGGCACTGGGATAGCTTCCGATCACCCGTATGGTCCCACCCAACTTACAGCTTAGCAGTAGCAACCTCACCTAGGTCGAAGGCTGGCGGTCGCCTTTACTTAGCTTCTCCAGCGTGTTAATCCATTGGTCTGGTAGATAAGTTTCCGCTAAGATCCATGGTCTTGGGCTGTAGCTTACCATCATAGCTTGTTACCTCCCGGCCAATGCGACTTCCCGTGCAACTTTTCTCCGTGACTCCCTCGGTCCGGACGTAGACTCGATCCCGCCATCCAATCACCTGCTCATCATCGGCGATCTTAACATTATAGAGGACCCGATATTAAATAAATCATCGTGCATAGGTTCTACTGCAGAAAACGATAGGCTCCTCACCCGCTGCACTAACTTCCAGCTCTCAGTCGCTTTCCGTACGCTTTATCTAAGAAAGCAAGAGTTTACCTTTTTCCCAGGCCAAGCAAGCCAACACGCGCATTGATTGGGCTCTCATCTCTCACTCTCTCCTACCTCACCTAATCCAGGCTTCTCATGTGATGCCGGAGGACTATAGATCATATCACAACTTTGCAATCCGGGTGGCCCTTTGGATTGACGCCAAGCTCTGCATCGGTCCCGGCCTCTGGAGACTTCACGCATCAATGGTCCACAAGCATGGGGTTCGACGGATTGTGGAAGCGATGGTAGCGAAGTGTGCTGTCACGAACGGTAGCAGTTTCGAGCTGCTTCTTTCGAGGTTGGCAGTTGGGCTTCGTGCATTTGCAAAGGAGGAAGGCAAGCGGGTGAAGGCGACGGTGACTCATCTGGCTGATGAGGTTGTGGAGCTTCGTCAGGAAATGATGCGGGATCCGTCCTGCAAGGCAACAAGTGCACGGTTAGTAGTGAAGGAGGCGCAACTGCGAGAATACTAGGCGTCAAGAAAGGACAAGCTGCTACTGATGTCCGGTATGTGGTTGGAACTCTGAGGGGAAGTGGCATCACAGCACCTGACGGCAATGGTCCAGGCTAGGAAGACGAGTACCCAGATTGCGGAGTTGCAGACAGCGGCACGTGTCGTCTCCACTTTGCAAGATATTCTTCGTGCGGTGTCTGACTTTTTCGCGGAAATCTTCGGACGACACCAGTGTCAGCTGGAAGACGACTTGCGTCCTGCGCAGGGAACGACGCTGAGGGTCTGGGAAGCATATGAACTGGCAGCAGACTGGACGGAAGAGGAGGTGAAAAAGGCCTTCAGTGCGATGGCAGAAAACAAGTCCTCGGGGAAAGATGGTCTACCGAAGGAGCTATTTGAAGCCCACTGGGACCTGCTGGGTAAGGGCTTCATGGCCTTAGCCAAGGATTTTCCTTCATCAGCAGTTCTCTCAGCGGAAGTAAAAGAGGCAGTTAAAATACTGCTTCACAAGAAGGGGGATAACTCAGGAAGGCACCTGACGGATGCGGTGGGGCTTGTCGCTGACATTTTGAGACGGCGCGGAATGATAATGAGTATTGGTTCCTCCTCTTGGTCGACTTCAAAAAAGTGCTTGACTCTGTTTCCCGCGGCCACCTCTTCTGGACGTTGCGGGCGATGGGCTTCCCTGATTGATTGGTGCGCTGGGTGGAAGGCCTGCATGCGGGAACGCAGACATGGTTGTTAGTTAATGGCTGGATGGGAGAAGGCGTGGAGGTGGTCTCCGGGGTCCGGCAGGGCTGCCCCCTCGCCCTGTACCTGTTTTTGTGCGCGGTTGAGCCGCTGGCGCAAATGGTTCTGAAGCGGAAGTTGAGCATCAGCAAGGCGAGCGAGTGGTTTGTGTGAAAGAACAAGGAATGATTGCATTGAACAGCATGAGGAGTACAAGTAGGAAACCCTAAAGTGTTGTACCCCATATGAGCTACCCCACTACAGCCTACACAGACTATAGCATGACGGACCTAGTGGAATCCCTTCAAGACGTGGCGCTTATACGTGCTGAGGAAGAGCGAAGGGAGGCGCTGCCGGACAACTTCAGCAACGACAAACCTGCTATATTGAACGCAACCGGGGCTGGAAAATCATTCGGAGCATGCTTCCATTGTGGGAAGAAAGGGCACAAGGCTGCAGACTGCTACTCCAACCCAAGAAGCAAGAATTTCAAAGGAAAGGCAACAGGGACAAGCGGAGAAGGACAGCGACTTCGAGGCGGATTTGCTGGAAACTGCAACCACTGCGGGAAATTTGGGCACAAAGCAATCGACTGCTACAGCAACCCGATGAGCAAGAGCTTCAGGGGAGGGCAGCAGCAGCAAAACAATCACGTACCTGCAAAGATCAACGCCACCGAAGCGGAAACCAGCGACGACGACGTCATCCTCGGGGGAGCCCACAAGGCCAATGTTGCAAGAGCTTCGGGAGCATGCCTGCTTGCAAAGGGCCTTAAGGGGAAGGAGTGGTACATGGACAGCGGTTGTACCCAACACATGACGAACCAAAAGGAGTGGCTGAAAAAATTCAGAGCATCACCGATACCGTATGTGCTGTTGGGAGACGAGGGGAAACTTCCTGTGAAAGGGGAAGGAGACCTAGTGCTGCAAAGTGCTTATGGTGAGGTGAAGCTGGAAAACGGGCTGCTGGTGGACAAGCTCACACTCAACCTCATAAGCCAGTCGCAGTTAGACAGTGGTGGGTGCAAGACTTTTCGTGACAACGGCAGCATATGGGTGTTCGGTTCGGATTGGAAGGTGATAGCGGAGGGATCACGCAAGCAGGGGTTGTACGAGATGAAGCTTCACGAGAAACAGAGTGGGGAGAAGACCACGTACCTGGCTGAACCGGAAGCGGGAAAGGTAGCACGAGAGGAGCTCCGCACCAAGCTGGAAAAGGTACCGATTAAAGAGCTGCAGCAGCAGGCGCTTCCTATGGCAGTAGCAGTGAGTACGGTGGACGTCAACCTGCTGCACAGGAGGATGGGGCACGCTGGTCACACTTGAATCAAGCAGCTGGTCAAGAAGAACATGGCAGCAGGAGTGAAGGTAGCCGAGGGTGGAGAGGAAAGTCTGAAGTGCAGCACTTGCGTGGAAGCAAAGGGGAAGAGGAAGAGGAAGAGGAAGAGGACGAGGAAGAGGAATATGCTGTGACAGTCGAAAGCCTGTTGCTGACAGTTCAGGCGTTGGAAGAGCGGGTGAAGGCTCTTATGATGCGGCAGAGGGCACCCTGCTCTGGAGTCCAGATCGACCAGGGTGAACCGGATCAGCCCGATCAGGCAAACGGAGGGGCAGCAGAGAAATCTAGAGCCGAGGAAATTCCAAAGCCGCTTCAGCTGTTGTGTCGGGCAGAAATGGTTCACTACTTGGACGTGACGAATGGGTGGGATGCGGATCTGTGCGAGTGTTGCTTTCACCGTGCAGTGAGTCCGCGAGCACAGCGAGCACTTGCCATAAAGAACCTGGAGGAATTGCGTCACCACCTGCGCAATCTGCAGCCTTGTTGCATCCCCGCAGCAGATCCCAAGCAGCAGCAGCATCATGAAATGTTTTCTCAGGAGCAGTTTGCGTGGAAGGCAGAGAGGGCGCCTCGCCTTTGCACAGAAGGGATGTTTCTCGAGTGGATGGCTGAGCCTCGTGTGGGTGTGCTCATGAACCTCGAGAAAGTCAGATCCCGCCTGCCTGCTATTTTGGATACTACAACAGTTGCTCTAGCTGCTGATGTCTCGTCTCCTGCTCCTGCTGCCCCTGTTGCTGCCCCTGCTGCTGCCCGTGCTGTTCCTGGTGCTCCTCCTGTCCCTTTGGCTTCTACAGTGTGGTCCTGCTGCTGGCGCTGCAGCAGCTGCTGGGCTGCCTACCGCCGTGCTGTCAGCTTCTCAACGTTCCTTGTGCTTGTAGCAAGATCCCCCCGCCTTGTGACTTTATGGCAAGCACACTTGGTCTTGCGTTCGTCGGCCTGGCCAGCAATCGCCACTGAGCTGGGGGCGAGCAGGCAGAGGGAGTGTGACAACTTTGCGTCCATGCTGGTGCAGGTGCTGGGGGTGAAGGAGAGTGCTGATCTGCAGGAGGGGTTTGGGTTCTTTGTGCAGCAATTGCTGTCAGGCGGGCTGGAGAAGGCGCATGCTGAGAGGAGGGGGGGAGCTTGGGGAAAGACTGCTGAGAAGGTGGATAAGGAGGGGAAACGGAAGGGGGGAGCTGAGGGGAAGGCTTTTGAGAAGGCGCATGTGGAGGGGAAGGCGTCACATGGGAAGGATGATGGGAGACACGGAGAGGAAGAGGCAGGGAGCAAGGTAGAGATTGATAGGGTTGCTGGCAAGTGCGGGAGGGTTAGTTCGGACTTGAGCTGGAGGGAGCATCTGAAGGGGCGTGTGTGGGAGAGGTATGCGGATGGCATGGCTTGGATTCTGCAGCATTGAGGGGGGGAAGGGCGGGAGTTAAGGTGCAGCCACTGCAGTGAGGGGGGCAGCAGCAGCAGCAGAAGCAGCAGTGGTGGCAGTGGCGGCAGTGACAATGGCAGAAGAAGTAGCAGCAGCAGCGTCAGCATTTCTGGCAGCAGCAGTGAGAGCAGCAGTGCTCCGAGGGGTATGCATGTGAGTGGTGTCAATGCGACCGATTTCGCCCTTGCTGTCACCACAGTCTTATCTCAACCAGAGCACTGGAAGGATGGAAAGCTGTACTTCCTTGATGGGAACAATGTGAGCAAGATGCAGGTAGAGAGTGCAGCTATTCAGGTGGCTAGGAAGAGACTGCTGCAGCATGGCTTGAAGCAGACAAGGGGGATGAATGGAGTGGCAGCAGCAGATGTAGGAAGAACCCCGCCTGCTGCTTCTGCTGTTGCTGCAAGCGCTGATATGAATGCTGTACTCGTGCCTGTCAATAGAGGCCCTGTTGTTGCTGCACTCACCTATCGGGCCGGTTGCATCTTGCAGTGGGTCCGAGTCTACGGCTCAGATTCCATCTTGGAGAAACGGTGCTTCAAGGACTGCCCTCAGAGCAACGTCCGGCCCATACGCCACCCGCTTCGGGACCTTCCGAGCCTGCTGGTCAGGTTCGGCGCCATCCCCAAGCCTCTGGAGGGATGCGGCATTCCTTTAGAGTGGGAGGAGTGGCCTGGGGACGGCGAAGCTGCTGTGAGGTTTCCTGTCAACCGAAAGGAGAGGTGTGTTGGGCTTGGGATTGTGGAGGAGCGTGGTGAAGCAGGTGAGAAGCTGACCCAGCACCCTCGTCAGAACATACCTGAAGCAGTAGGGAGGTGCAGGCGTGCAAGAGGGAAAGGCTGTAAGGCAGTACGCCAAGGAGCTGGTGTGGAAGCCGAACAGAGCAGAACACGTGGGAGAGGTGAAGCATCTCGGAATGATGAGCAGAGAGTAATACTACCGCCCGCCAGGAGGAAGCTTCCCATCGTTCGCTGCCAGGCAGATGTGGACTTCCTGGTGGGGTTTAACGGGAATATCATGGACCCTCCGGCATGCACCGAGTGCTGCACCTGCTCTGCAGAATTCATACAGTCTGTGTGCATGGCTGCTCTCATTGCCAACTTCGCTTACCGCCCAGTCAGCCATCTTTTCTCCCGCGTGCTCTCAGCCTTCCCGCCATCCTCCCCTGGCTTCGACAAACTGGTTGAGTGCCTGGACCTCCCTGCACGCCTGCCCAGGCCTGTGAACCTGCAGATGCTGCTCAGCCGGGCGGAGCAGGTGCCTCTGTACTTCCTCATTCACATGGCCGTGTGGTGGGGTCGTCCTCTTCTGACAAGCTATGAGGTGGAGCGGGAATGCAGTAGACATGAGCAGTTGGTGCAGTCAGGTGCGCGTAAAAAGGGTGTGGAGAAAAGGGGGAAAGGTGGGAGGGTGAAGGGGCAAGGGCTCTGGGATGGTGAGGTGGATCAGGAGAACGGTGGAGAGGTGTGGGAGGAGGTGCGGATGTGGTATTGCGCAGCAATGGCTGTGTGGAGTTTCAAAGAGGGAAGCGATGGAGTGCAGAGTGAGGAGTGCAGGGGCAGCAGGAAGCAGGAGAGAGCGGCTAAGGAGTGTGACATCACATGGATTCTTGAGGCAGCAATCACTCCGAGGTACTGTGAGGGGCGGCAAGGGCAACGTGGTTCTGTCAGGGGGAGCAGCAACTGTGAGTGGATGGGTGGCAGCAGCAGCAGCAACAACAACAGCAGTGAGAAGAAGAGGAAGAAGGGGAAGGTGCCGGCTTATCGGAAGCCGTGGCTGGGTGGAGTGAATCTGGTGGCATGTCTGCGAGAGATGCTGCTGGGGGAGCCGTGCTACCACCCTGCCTCCCATGCTGCTCCATCCGCTCCTGCTGCTGCTTCCACCCATTCTGCTGCTGCTATGGCTTCTCGTCTTACTGCCCCTCCCAACCCCACTGCAATAAGCATCGGTGCTGCTACTGTTGCTGCTGCTTCAGATGTCCAAGGCCGTGTGTGCGGTACTGCAGGGTGTGCGAGGGTGGAAGGTGGTTCTGTGAAGCTGAGGAGGTGCGGTGGGTGTGGCAAGGTAGCGTATTGCAGCAGAGAGTGCCAAAAGGCGCACTGGCCCTCCCACAAGCTTACATGCCCCGGCAGGAGCAGCGGGAAGAAGAGTGGGAAGGATGAGAGCAAGGATGGCAGCGGCAATAGTGGCACGACGATTAGCAAGGTGAGTGGGCAAGGTGGGTAGGCAACGTGGGGAGGCAATGTGGGAAGCAATGTGGGGAGGCAACGTGGGGAGGCAACGTGGGGAGGCAAGATGGGTAGGCAAGATGGGGAGGCAAGATGGGGAGGCAAGGTGGGTAGGTTAGGTGAGTGGCAAGGTGAGTATTCAAGGTCAGCGGTGGGGTGTAAGACAAGGTGTTTGTTAGGTACGGACCTACTGAGGCATCATGCCCTTTGCCGGTCTGGTGTGCCAGCATGGTTGCAAGCAACGAGGGTGTGTGCAAGCCCTCTCTTTGCATGTACTTGGGTTGTGGTTTGCTGTGCATACTGCCGGTCATTCACCTTGTGCAGCAGTAGCTGGCGGATGGCCATACTAAATGCCTTGCTCAGCTTTGTTCAAGAAAGACAACTGTACAATGACTTTCATTCCTCGCTCTTTTCCCTTCTAACATTTTCCAAGTTGTTCTCACTCACCCTTTCCCGTTTCTTGCACTTGCACTCTTAACCTCACTGGCTCTGCACTGGTCTAAGAGTGCATATCTACAAGCATGTGCCTGAAGTTTTAGGGGCTTGCGCAACGTGCTACTATGGGGCAGAAGTGCAAGAGCACAAGGTTGACTGCTGTTCAGTGCAGTGCAGTGCCACTCCAACGGAGGCCGGCACTTAAATTGGATCGGACATGAGATTTGCTTCTAGTATTTGTTGAGACATAATCATTCTAGAGCATCTGTATCTGGTGTTGGGATGTGATGAGGCGAGTCCTGATTCCAAGCAGTGGCTACCAGTAAATGATGCAACACGCATGTCGTCTCTCCGGAGGTGTGCCAGCTGGCGTTTCTGTCTTGGCGGTGTCGAATTGATTCGCCATGATCCGTAATTTAGCAGCTGGATCTGCTTCCCCCCCCCCCCCCGTGCTCTTCCTCACCTCCAACGCTTGCTACAGAAATGAGTTGTAAGTCACTTGCCATAGAGGATGCTGAACAATTTCCGTACGGTCTTCTATTGACAGATCTAAGCAATCAGTTTGTGAACGAGTGTAGGTATCGGCGGAACCTTTCCAGTATCAGATGTTAGAGCGAAAGCATCTCTTGTTGAATGGAGAAAGCTACCATGGCCGATACCTTGTGCATGGTGGCAAGCGAAACTGTTTCGTACATTTTATCCCTAGCGTATAACTTTCCAGCACGGCAAGACATCTGAGATGTTTGCACACAGCTTCACTTTGTAGGAAGCCAGTTGAGGCGCCTTCAAGTGCCAAGCTCTCACGGATGGCAGCCACCTTGCACCTGCCACAGAGCCATTCAGTACGATACTGCGGGTGTTAGTGATAAATGGCAGTGGCGGAACTGGTGGTTGGTAGGGCAGAGCTGATGGGATGAAAGGGCCATCAATCTGCAACATGTGGGGGATGGGGGGAGGGGGGAAACCAATCATGCAACTTCTGCATTAAGTGGGCTGCAGAGCAGCTTCCACTCAAGAAGCAAGCGACCTGCAACCTTCTGTGTTGGAAACGGGAGCGTTGTTCGGATTGGCCAGATCCATTCATACCATTTAACCTGAGTGCCCTGAATTATCTCATCTTACCCAAAAAATTCAACACACTAGTGCCCTATCTTTTCTCATATTGCCCAGACTTAATCGAACTGCCTCACAATGAGGAGGTCTTGGAAGCACTCTGCCCGATTGAAGTGGCAGCTGTTGAACACCCTTCTCGTGGCCCATGATTCCAGTATCATGATTCATGTGTCCGTCCAGCTGATTACTGCAAGGGGGGTGATTGTGGCGCGGAGCAGCAGCACCAACAATAGCAGCACCATCAGGTGGGTGGGTGACTCGGGTGGGTGAGTCAGGTGGGTGAGTCAGGTGGGTGAGTCAGGTGGGTGAGTCAGGTGGGTGACTCAGGTGGGTGAGTCGGGTGGGTGACTCAGGTGGGTGAGTCAGGTGGGTGAGTCAGGTGGGTGACTCAGGTGGGTGACTCAGGTGGGTGACTCAGGTGGGTGACTCAGGTGGGTGACCCGGGTGGGTGACCCAGGTGGGTGAGTCAGGTGGATGACTCAGGTGGGTGAGTCAGGTGGGTGAGTCAGGTGGGTGAGTCAGGTGGGTGAGTCAGGTGGGTGACTCAGGTGGGTGAGTCAAGTGGGTGACTCAGGTGGGTGAGTCAGGTGGGTGACTCAGGTGGGTGAGTCAGGTGGGTGAGTCAGGTGGGTGAGTCAGGTGGGTGACTCAGGTGGGCGAGTCAGGTGGGTGAGTCAGGTGGGTGACTCAGGTGGGTGAGTCAGGTGGGTGACTCAGGTGTGTGAGTCAAGTGGGTGACTCAGGTGGGTGACTCAGGTGGGTGAGTCAGGTGGGTGACTCAGGTGGATGACTCAGGTGGGTGAGTCAGGTGGGTGACTCAGGTGGGTGAGTCAGGTGGGTGAGTCAGGTGGGTGACTCAGGTGAGTGAGTCAGGTGGGTGACTCAGGTGGGTGAGTCAGGTGGGTGACTCAGGTGGGTGAGTCAAGTGGGTAACTCAGGTGGGTGACTCAGGTGGGTGAGTCAGGTGGGTGACTCAGGTGGGTGAGTCAAGTGGGTGACTCAGGTGGGTGAGTTAGGTGGGTGAGTCAGGTGGGTGAGTCAGGTGGGTGACTCAGGTGGGTGAGTCAGGTGGGTGAGTCAGGTGGGTGACTCAGGTGGGTGAGTCAAGTGGGTGACTCAGGTGGGTGAATCAGGTGGGTGACTCAGGTGGGTGACTCAGGTGGGTGACTCAGGCGGGTGAGTCAGGTGGGTGACTCAGGTGGGTGAGTCGGGTGGGTGACTCAGGTGGGTGAGTCAGGTGGGTGAGTCAGGTGGGTGACTCAGGTGGGTGACTCAGGTGGGTGACTCAGGTGGGTAACTCAGGTGGGTGACCCAGGTGAGTGACCAAGGTGGGTGAGTCAGGTGGATGACTCAGGTGGGTGAGTCAGGTGGGTGACTCAGGTGGGTGAGTCAGGTGGGTGAGTCAGGTGGGTGACTCAGGTGGGTGAGTCAAGTGGGTGACTCAGGTGGGTGAGTCAGGTGGGTGACTCAGGTGGGTGAGTCAAGTGGGTGACTCAGGTGGGTGACTCAGGTGGGTGAGTCGGGTGGGTGACTCAGGTGGGTGAGTCAAGTGGGTGACTCAGGTGGGTGAGTCAGGTGGGTGAGTCAGGTGGGTGAGTCAGGTGGGTGACTTAGGTGGGTGAGTCAGGTGGGTGAGTCTGGTGGGTGACTCAGGTGGGTGAGTCAAGTGGGTGACTCAGGTGGGTGAGTCAGGTGGGTGACTCAGGTGGGTGAGTCAAGTGGGTGACTCAGGTGGGTGACTCAGGTGGGTGAGTCGGGTGGGTGACTCAGGTGGGTGAGTCAAGTGGGTGACTCAGGTGGGTGAGTCAGGTGGGTGAGTCAGGTGGGTGAGTCAGGTGGGTGACTTAGGTGGGTGAGTCAGGTGGGTGAGTCTGGTGGGTGACTCAGGTGGGTGAGTCAAGTGGGTGACTCAGGTGGGTGAGTCAGGTGGGTGACTCAGGTGGGTGAGTCAAGTGGGTGACTCAGGTGGGTGACTCAGGTGGGTGAGTCGGGTGGGTCTCAGGTGGGTGAGTCAAGTGGGTGACTCAGGTGGGTGAGTCAGGTGGGTGAGTCAGGTGGGTGAGTCAGGTGGGTGACTCAGGTGGGTGAGTCAGGTGGGTGAGTCAGGTGGGTGACTCAGGTGGGTGAGTCAAGTGGGTGACTCAGGTGGGTGAATCAGGTGGGTGAGTCAGGTGGGTGAGTCAGGTGGGTGAGTCAGGTGGGTGAGTCAGGTGGGTGACTCAGGTGGGTGAGTCGGGTGGGTGACTCAGGTGGGTGAGTCAGGTGGGTGAGTCAGGTGGGTGAGTCAGGTGGGTGACCCAGGTGGGTGACTCAGGTGGGTGACTCAGGTGGGTGACCCAGGTGGGTGACCCAGGTGGGTGAGTCAGGTGGATGACTCAGGTGGGTGAGTCAGGTGGGTGACTCAGGTGGGTGACTCAGGTGGGTGAGTCAGGTGGGTGACTCAGGTGGGTGAGTCAAGTGGGTGACTCAGGTGGGTGAGTCAGGTGGGTGAGTCAGGTGGGTGAGTCAAGTGGGTGACTCAGGTGGGTGACTCAGGTGGGTGAGTCGGGTGGGTGACTCAGGTGGGTGAGTCAAGTGGGTGACTCTGGTGGGTGAGTCAGGTGGGTGAGTCAGGTGGGTGAGTCAGGTGGGTGACTCAGGTGGGCGAGTCAGGTGGGTGAGTCAGGTGGGTGACTCAGGTGGGTGAGTCAAGTGGGACTCAGGTGGGTGAATCAGGTGGGTGAGTCAGGTGGGTGAGTCAGGTGGGTGACTCAGGTGGGTGAGTCAGGTGGGTGACTCAGGTGGGTGAGTCGGGTGGGTGACTCAGGTGGGTGAGTCAGGTGGGTGAGTCAGGTGGGTGAGTCGGGTGGGTGACTCAGGTGGGTGACTCAGGTGGGTGACCCAGGTGGGTGACTCAGGTGGGTGACTCAGGTGGGTGACTCAGGTGGGTGACTCGGGTGGGTGACTCAGGTGGGTGAGTCAGGTGGGTGACTCAGGTGGGTGAGTCAAGTGGGTGACTCAGGTGGGTGACTCAGGTGGGTGAGTCGGGTGGGTGACTCAGGTGGGTGAGTCAAGTGGGTGACTCAGGTGGGTGAGTCAGGTGGGTGAGTCAGGTGGGTGAGTCAGGTGGGTGAATTAGGTGGGTGAGTCAGGTGGGTGAGTCTGGTGGGTGACTCAGGTGGGTGAGTCAAGTGGGTGACTCAGGTGGGTGAGTCAGGTGGGTGACTCAGGTGGGTGAGTCAAGTGGGTGACTCAGGTGGGTGACTCAGGTGGGTGAGTCGGGTGGGTGACTCAGGTGGGTGAGTCAAGTGGGTGACTCAGGTGGGTGAGTCAGGTGGGTGAGTCAGGTGGGTGAGTCAGGTGGGTGACTTAGGTGGGTGAGTCAGGTGGGTGAGTCTGGTGGGTGACTCAGGTGGGTGAGTCAAGTGGGTGACTCAGGTGGGTGAGTCAGGTGGGTGACTCAGGTGGGTG